TTAGACCATTGACCTCGCATCCCTACAAAGCCGGGACGGAGCACGCCGGGTTCTCACCGGACCAGGCTCTCACATCACCAAGCACGAAGCGCCGTGAGGTATTCGGCGAGTCGCATGAAGGGTGCGCTGCATCCTGCTAAGGGTGTTCGGCATCTTGTGCTTACTTTCTTGCGTACGGATGACAGCTGCGTGTGTAATTTACTTTCTGGTGTTCCACTTGCAGAGACAGTTGTAAGCACTGTATAACTGCCTCGAGGATGCGTGACCATTTTCACACAACGTGGTGCGATCATCCCCCTTGCGCGGAGTGAGGATTCTCCGCCCCGCACCAGATGATCTACTCGACCACCATTATGGTTACCACCAAACAAAACAACAGAGTTACATAAAGAACAGAAACCTGGTTGCCGAGTTTACGAAGTGAATTGACTTGTTTTACACCGTTGTCGCCAAGCGACGAAAACCCAACCCCGATGGCAAACACCGGGGGGGGGGAGGGGGGGGCATCTTAGGTCCATGGCTTGATGTAGGCGGAATGCATTGTTTTTGGGCTCATGCTTGACCGATAACATATTTCCATCGGCTTGTGGTGCTGTCCGCGTGTGTCAGGGGTGTTGTCTTGTTCCGTGCACGGTAGGCGGGATGTACATGCTCCGCCCCACGTTGTTGGTAGGTGATCGGGAGACAGGGTGGAATGTGCCTCGTGTTTCCCCAATATCGCCCAGGACCCACACGTGTTTTATCTAAGCTGTCTCATTTTGTACATACCATTGTTGTAGTCGATAAATAGATGTGTTCGCGCTCAGTGCGAAAATTCCTCCCTTTCGCGCGAGACTTCTGTCGACCGAGTTCCATGTGTACTCTGTCTTATTCTTTGCCGTCATTCAGCCCGTGCCGTACGCCTAAAACGCTTTCCGGGCCCGATCCGCATGGAATGATGACAACACCCCTGAACTACCTATATCGTGTGGTACGTTGGAGCTTGGATTGTTGTTTCCACTCGTGAAGTTTGCTTGTTGCTTGCTTTCGGGAAATTTGTCACCTATCCCCGGTATTGAAATGGTTTGCAGGGTGACTCCAGTCCGTGGTATTTGATCTTCGAATCCGAGGACGACGATGCGCTGTAATATATTGCTATTCGAACGAGCAAGGGATCTTGGTTCACCCGGCCGACGCAACGTGGCAATAGGGACGCGAGGCCGACTGCTTCGCGTCCGCGGGCACTTCCAAACGAATCGGTTTCACGGAACAGCAACCGAAATCGGACGGTGACCACGAAAACACATCCGAAAAGCCACACAGCACATCCGCCAGGCTGTTGATGGCTTCCGGGGTCCAACCCTAGTCGTGTAAGTCAAAAGTGACATGGTGCAAATGTGCAGGCAAACGTTGCCACAACTCGCGAAAACCCACTCGCTGCGCGTCCGAAGGGCGTTCCAACAGTTCCGGTGGCGGCGGTTTCGGCGGCAGTGGGGCCGCGGGAGAGGTAGAAATCCGCAACCGAGATGTTCGAATGCAAAGAATTCACGCGAGACGGCGACCTATTTTTGGAACGGGTCGGCGGCGTAGGGTCATTCGACCCAACACCCTCGGCCGTCTGCGGTGTGGGATCAATCGACGCGAGCGGAATCTGCACAAGTGGGGCAGTCGCCACTCCAAGCACATCACCGGGCTCCAACTCGGCGCACCCTGTCAACGGGATGTGTTGAGGCCCGTCCGAAACAAACGCGTCCGACGCCGAAAGGGCGCCATGTTTCGGTAAAAACGTGACAAGATAGTTACCGGTGAGAGCAGGAGTGCCGGAATTGCGAACTAGGTTCACCCTCGTCAATGTGGGTTTATCGGAAAGGGAGACACCCTTCCTGCCGGCGTGCCGCAGGAAGGAAGATGCCCCGGGGGCGGAGGATCCAGCGACATACGCGGCGCCCCAAATGCGACGACAGAGAAAGTATCTCCATGATGCGTCCACTCGCCGACCGCGTGGGCAAAGTATTGGACAAACGAGAGTAAAAACGCATCCAACTATCACGTCCAAGAAGGAAGGCGTGACCCATGGCGGCAGCTGGGACAACATACACCCACACCGCTAGTGAAGCGGTGGCACTATCACCATAAAAAAATTGAACGGACAGCCGCACGGATGAGGTGGTTTCGAGAGCATTGCCAGAGCCAAAACCACCCCACTGCCGAACGGGCACCGAACGACGACTGTGGACAGATGAAGCTCCTGACGCCTCCATGGCCTCAAGAAAAGCATCACCTATGAAAGATGAAGGTGAGCCCGAGTCCAAAAGGGCTACACCAGGCGCTGTACACACGGCTTCTGTACCACTATGCACACGGACTCGCGTCGTAGAGGTATCGCAATCCACGAAAACATCACCGCTCACCAAATGTGGACCGTGTTCCGCCAACAGCGGTGGTGCGGAAGCGGCGGTGCGGCGAAAAGCAGCAGAGGCGATGTGCAGCACCTGTTTCAAGTGGTCCGAGGGCGTGTTCGCTGGCACGCCCAAGGGGCCACGCGCGTCCTCGGAAGGGGGCTCGTCAGCTGAAGAATCCTCCCCCGGGGGTGCAATTTCGTGTATAGTGGGACACACGGGGGCAGATTGCCCCGAGTATCGGGTTCGACCGGTCGCACACGCAGAAGCATGCGCGTCGCAACAAGCGCTTTGCCCAAGAGGTTTTTACCAGTCCACTTGGAGGGCGACGCCGCACGCGGATCGAAGGAATCAACACCAACGCCCCACAATCCGTCATAAGGGCTAGCCTCCGCTATCTGTCTGTCACCCGTAGCCGACAAACGTTCGCGCGCGTCAGCATTTTGGGCGAATTTTGCATACAAAGCGAAAAGATAACATCCTCGCGTCGGAGCTCCCAGAGGGCATGGCCAAAACGGCGTACCTTGCGACCAAGGGACTTGTGTTCCATCGGGTCGGAGGTAGCCATGATTTTGGCATAAACGGCATGATCGCCGAAAATGCGGGCTTTCTCCGCCGTCTTGAACTGTTCGCCGCACACGTAGCGAATGCCATGGACCGAGAACTCACAGGGCGTCCAATTAGCCAGAAAGGACGGCGGTTTCCAAAGGAAAACCTCATCGTTGTAGTATTCCTGACTTCCATCAAAAACAGGGGCCTGCCGCGCGGGTGCGCTTACCTTCCCCGAAGAAATATCATCAAGGGAAATGGCGCCGGCAACCGGCAGGACAATCTGGGTGCCACCCGAAGGCTGGCCAGATTGTGAGTTACGAGGAGAGGAGGGCAAAAGCCGTGGACCAGCCGCAGAAGCGTGCGAAACCAAGCGGTCTACGCGGGCATTTTCGCGCAAAACGTCGGCGTACGCCTGTTCACTAAAAGCGGACTTCATCGCGGACGCTCGGCCAACATGGCCAGCGGCCGCGGGAGGCTCTGGACCGCTATTTCGTGACAAAGAACATGAACCTTCCGATTTTGGGAAACCGTTACTTGCGCTCGGCAACGGTGGTGCAGTCAGCACCGTACGACGTTGGTGATCCGTAGAGGTACGTCGCGAGGGGTCCGGAGGGAGCGCAGTGGGTACAAGCGTACTCGAGCCACCGTTGCGGGCCTGGGGCTGTCCCGAAGATTCCTGTGCTTCCGCGTGGTTGACGAGGCCACCCGGAGCCGCCGAAACGGTGGGAGAAGCCGAAGCCGTGCCTCCGGGGGGCGTAAACATCGGGGCGAGCGTCCGCGAGACACCCGAAGTCTTGTCGGCCCCCCGCCCACACCACAAGTTNGGTTGACGAGGCCACCCGGAGCCGCCGAAACGGTGGGAGAAGCCGAAGCCGTGCCTCCGGGGGGCGTAAACATCGGGGCGAGCGTCCGCGAGACACCCGAAGTCTTGTCGGCCCCCCGCCCACACCACAAGTTTGTATTCGGCGCCGACGAGTCACGACGGCCATCCAAAACAGGCTGTGATGAGGCGTGGGGCGACATCTGAGAGATAAAAGGTTGGGAAAGAAACATAGGCGAGCCCGAGGACGTCTGTGTGAGACGAACATCTTGGGAACTAATCGTACAGCGCACACCCGGTGCTGTTGACGGTGATGTGTGCAAAAGGCCGTCACAGTCGTGTCAGTTCCCCCGCGAGTGCGGGGTTCCGGAATTCCGAGTATGCGGAGTTCCAGGAACGGCGGCGGGTGCCGAGGCCGCGGCGGCGCCTACGGCCGGCGCCGGAGGGTGTGTGTGTGTTTGAGCGATGTTTCCCAGAGCGGCGGCCGTCGCCCTGTGTATGGCCGCTGCTCTTACCCAGGCCATTTTTTTGTGCACACGCGGGCGGTGGGATTTCATGTGGCTCTGCCAACGTTGAAAAACATTGATGCTATCAGCATGCGAAGCAATGGCCGGGTTTAATAGGCCGGTGTAATTGGTGAAAGCATAAGGGCATGTTTTGAGGCTGTGTCCCGCCTGCCCGCAGTTTAGACAATAGCCGGAAAATTATTGCCGCAGAGCTTGTGCTCGGTCGGCGGGTGTCAACAGCGGTGTGAACAGAGGGGGGTCCGTCTTTGCCATACTCACCACGACGCTGTAAACAAAGCCGTAGGGACCACGCAACGGCCAGCAGTCATGGTCCTGCTCGAAGGGACATGTGTTATCGGACGGCACAGGGTCGATGGCCATCACCTCGGCGGGAAATTGTGGTCCCGGCGACCACGCGGACGGCTGCAGCGGCGACGGCGGTGGCGGCCGCTGCTGCCCCACGGTCGCGGTCATGGCTCGTGTAGGCGCCGATGAAAACCCAAAAGTGACAGTGGTAAAATAGCGGTCGCCATTGCAGGCGGGCATCCCAAAGCTCATCCTGATCGCTAAACACTACGTTGTGGAGAATCTCATCCTTCAACGGCAAAGACGAGAGAACATTCGGATACTGCTCCAACAAAGCGTCCCGAAGCGCTCGCTGTACCATGCGCAGATCCGGCGCGAAAGCTCTGTGCGAGGCCAACTCCGACATTGCCAACGCATTAAACTTCGTAACGAATTTGCTGTACGGCGCGCCGTTGGGCACACCGAAATCCTGCTGCTTGTCGACGCCTGGTTTGAAAACTGTCGGTTCCCACTCGTCCGCAAGCAGCTTGAGCAGCCGACGGTATGCCGAGGGCCCCGACTTGTCCTTTGTCTCCAAGAAACGCTCCACCTGAGAAAACGAAGAATCCACCAGTTCGCGGGTTGCGGCATTGGCGCCTTGAGGATTCGAAATGGCGATGAGAACACGCTTGTGGAAGGAAGCATACCATCCAGCCACCCATGTGGGCGACTTGATGGTCTGCTTGCCAGAGGCATCAGCAGCCGACAGGATTTCAGCCAACACGCATTCAGTCGAACGAACGAAAGCAGAAATTGCTGCAGGAGGAAGCGGCACCACCGCATACAGTTCGTTCACTTTGAGCTTGCCGTATCCTTTGCGCACGCTGAGGGCGTGCGCCTCTGAGGCGGCAACGGCGTTCGCATCAAGCTGTGCCTGCGCAGTGCGTGCACCGGCAGACGACAAGGGCAGTGCCCG